ACCCAAAAGACTGTTGTCAGTGTCATATGGTGGCCCAATTGGGAGACTGGAGTAATACAGGTTTGCCCATTTCCATAGTGCTCCTCCCTACCCCCCAAGACAGGCACAGAAGGGTTCATAAGCAAAGCTTTGGGTGAAGGGGGCCAGAGAGGGTTCAACTTTTTGCTTTGTGCATACTCAGAGACTTATATGTACAAGAAAGACATTTAGCAAAAAGCGCTGCTGTGCCTGTTACGCCAGGGAGGGTGTTCTCAGCTCGCAAGAATGGAAGTCTATCAGATGGGGAAACTCAGCCTCCTGAGGCTGTGGGCCCAAAAGTGCATCATCACAGGGGAAGGGTGCCCAATTGGGATCTCAGAGTGGGGAGTGAAGACGTACCCGGTTCCACAGCACTCCTCCTTGCAGGGACAGGCACAGCAGGGTTCATAGGCAGAGCTTTGAGTGAAAAGGGCCAGAAGGGGTTCAACATTTTTTATGTATGCTTAGATGCATTTCACATGTAAAATAAAGACATTTGGCAAGAAGCACTGGTGAGACTGTTACTGTTGCAAGGCAGAACTCACCTCATAACACTGCTTCGTTGACCTTCAGCCCATTGCTCAGTGTTGCATGGGATGCCTTGAACTTTTTCCACTGCAGGCTGCCCTCCAAGATACCTATCCCTGAGTACCTGAAATTGGCTCCATAGTTCCATGGCTTTCACTGGTGCTGACTGCCTATTAGTCCTTCTGTTCCTGCCCCCCTTTTCCAGGGAGTTTCCTCCTCATTTCCCCTTTCCTCAGGATGCTTCTCTTCTGCCTCAGCTCATTGTTGCTCTTCTAGCTCCTTTACTATTCGTAGATGCTGCAGTTCCACCGTTCTGTCTAAAAGTTCTTCGTCTTCTCTTATTTCCTGGAGGGTAGACAATCAGCACTCCAGCACTCTCACTTTTTCTTCCAGCATGGCCTTGCTGACCTCAGGCAAAAAACAAACATTGTGCAGAGGTTGCAGGTCACCACCACAGGGCAGTCTTGGTACCTAATTCCTACTTCTACCTTGCTGAATGTGTTATAATAGCCTGTGCTTTTTCCATTTTCCCTCAAGGCTAACAACAGTGCCCTAGTAGTGGATGAGTGTAGGTTACAAGAAGAAAACGGAAAGAAAGAAAAGGGGGAGAAGTGAAACAAAAGTTGGGGACCTACCCTGCCAAGCTCCTGTTAGCTCTGTTTGCTGACCCTCTGGGAGTTTGCTGGTCCCTACACCAGCTGCCGCCACATCTTTTGCTCTGCTCAGTTAGGAGTCAGGGACCAGAATGGGACAATGAACATGCTGCAATCACTGCTTTGAGAACTAGAACACTGTTAAGCTAGGCACTCTGCAAGATGCTAACTTAAGGGCATGATCTTAAGCAAGGTTAGAGAGAGCTTTCAGCATTCCCAAACCAGCATAGCAATCTTTGATTCTGTGAATCTAAGTGTTCACCTTGCACCTTTAAGTCTAGCTGTGTCTTCCCCTCTTCAAATCAGAATAAAGTTTCCAGAAAAAATGATAGGCATGCAGGAAGAAGATTGGTTCTTTGCTTTGCTCTTCTAATTCCTACTGTGATCATCACCACCAGTCTGAATTGGAGGAAAAATAGCTGGCGAAGCAGAAGATTGCTGTGGGGATCAGGGCAAAAGGGTTCAGCTCTCTCTTCTTGCCAAGGCATAGTTTCCCAGCTTGAGTTTGCACAGGAGTATCTGCTGTGAGGTTTAAAAATATGAAGCAGAGTATATACTTTCAGAGAAAATTGTTATGCATTTACACAATGTCCTTCCCTCACATTTGACTTAGCCTCCACACAGTTGGAATTAAGGGGAAAACATCCTGTCAGACCTACAAAAAGCCTGAAATAAGAGAATCACCCCATCCAGGAAGTTTAAGGGTTAAGCACCCCCCCCTTACTCCAGTTGTGTTAGCTTGGCAAACAAGATATTTAAATTTGTATGTTTAAATACAAATGATCTTGTATTCATGCCAGTTTCTTCAAAATGTTATTCCTAAAGAAGACGAATTCCTCCCAATAATGGATCTAGAAACACCAACTCTACAGAAGCCTGGTTAGAAAAAGGCAAGCCATTATGTAATGATGCTTCCTTTCTGTAACTTGCCAGAAGACCATGCACAGAGCATTTCTGTGACCCAGTGGCCAGGCTATGGGCCAAAGGCCTCTGGGTAGCCTTAGCAATAGCTTTGGGGCTGCTGAAAGCAGCTCCTGATTTAGGCTGTGAGTGTTTAAAGCTTTAGATCAGTTAATCAGTGAAAGCTTTGCATGGCTAAGGCTGCAGATCAGTTAGTCAGTTAAAGATAAATTAAGACACTTAGATGCTTGGAAAGTAACACCTAGCATAGCCACCAATGTCAAGGGGAAGCAGTTATCAGAAAACCTTCACTAACTCTAACCACAAACTAGGTCTGGGAGACATCTAACAAGACCCCAAATCTCACAAGAAACAATTCTTATAAAATACCAGCAAAACACCTACCCACAGGACTGCACTGATGACTTTCTAAAGGTGTCATGACATGGGAGGCCAAAAATGGCCAATCTGGAACAGGAGAGCACCTGGACATGCATGGTTTAAGCTACTTGCTCATCCATAACCTATAAAGACCATGCCCACACCTTTGCTTTTTGTCAGCTCTGCTTTTGGGCATGAGCCATGCTGCTGATCTCTTTTGCATGCGAAATAAACAGTTTAAGTTTCTACTGGGCGTTGCTTCCCTTTTTCCTGATAATTGAGACCCTCTGGGAAAAATACCAAGGGCATTTTTGAAACAGCTTGATCAGCTGGGAGTATGGGATAAATGTCACAACCAACAAACCTACATAAAAAGGCCAGCAGTTAGTTCAGTTTTGAAGATCTTTTGAGCATCAAATAGGACCCTCAGTCAAGTAGAGCATTCATACCCAATGAATGGCTTCCTTGTAGATTCATTTTCAGTGAGACTAGAATATAGCAGCTTGTGTCCCAGTACTGGAAAAATCTGTCCGTTTTTGCAATCTGGTTACAAAGCACACAATATAGCCTCTAGTTCCCAAGATACTGCTAGCTGTAACCAGATATTTCAGTTTTTCCCCCCTTCCTTTTTACATAGAAGTTGAAGGAGGAAACAAAGAATACTGTAGCTTATTACATGCACCTTGTAGTTGTGGGGGATCCCAGAAGCATCTCCCACATTACAAAGAAAGAAACCTACAAGCCTAGGTTAAAGCTATGCCTAGTTCAAGCAAGCATGTACCCAGCACCAGAGTACATGCACAGTGTTTCAGGAGAACATTACTAGCACCTCCTTTGCCCTAGGGCCCATCTCAGGGTGTGGGTTAGGCCAGGAGTCCCAATCATTTCAGATCTGTGGACAAATTTGGAAATTTAGGCTAAATATGAGCCAACAATACAATGCAGAAGCCAAAAGGGCAAATGCTATTTTGGGATGCATTAACAGAAGTATTACTTCCAAATTCTGAGAAATAATAGTCCCCCTGTAGGTCTCATTAGTCAGACCTCACCTGGAATACTGTGTCCAATTCTGGGCACCAAGATATAAGAATGATGCAGAAAAATGAGAAAGGGTCCAGCGGAGGGCAACAAAAATGATCCAAGGTTTGGAAACACTGCCCTATGAGGAGAGTCAGAGAACTGGGCATGTTCAGCCTTGAGAAGAGAAGGCTGAGGGGGGACATGATATCACTCTATAAGCACCTCAAAGGCTCTTAGAAAGAGGAAGGTAAGGATTTGTTCTTGCTGATACAAGCGTGTAGGACATGGAATAATCAAGCTGCGACAACCCAGATTCAGTCTAGATATCAGGAAAAGGTTCCTCACTGTCAGAGCAATATGACAGTGGAACCAGCTGCCCAGAAAAGTGGTGGGCTCTCCTACACTAGACCTTCAGAAAGAAACTGGAAGGCCACCTGAGTGGGATGGTATAACTTGGTGTTCTGCAACAGCAGGCAGTTGAACACAATGGCCTTCCTGGCGCCTGCCCTGCCCTTTCCTTCTAAAACAGGAGAAAAGTTGGAACCATGAGGGATACCACATGCCAAAGGTCAAGGTGTTGGTTGAGCATAAGTCCTCCAGTACAAGCTTCTAAAATCATCCCTCCAAAAAGTACCAGAACCACCATATAACAGCCACTTTTCACATAGGCAGCTCATGGTTGATGTCATTAAAAACGACAAAAACATCTAGCACAACAAACATAAGATGGCTCACCAAAGCAGTCCCTGTCCCATAACCAGGCCTAAAGTCTGGTTCACTAATCCAGAAATCCCAGGAGCTGAGTAGCCACCATACACTCTACTACTTTGCTTGAGAATGGACTATTGGACAGTCCTGGGGTTATCCAGGACAGTGGGTGTGTGGGCAGTGTATTTTAAATGAAAGTCACTATCTTAGGCAGGATAGAAGCATATCCTGATTAAGCAACCTAGCTAAAAGTAAGCTAGATGCGATGTGCACATGTCTCTACAACATGTCCCTCACCCAGGCAAAGAAGACAGAGGGAGTGGGCATCAGATGGGGGCAACCTCCTATTGCAGGAGGCATATCTCCTGAAAGCCACTGCCAATGCAATTGCACAGATGCAAAACAAGGCAGGAAAGACATAGAAGAAAAAAGATAGGGAAGATCACAGGCAACATGGGAGGGGCAAGGAGTGGTGGATATGAAAGTGGATAAAAATCTAACTTTCTGTGGATTTTTTAAAAGAGTTGAAAAGATGGGTTGTCGAAGAGAAATGAGTGAAGGAAGGATTGTTTTTCATAGAAAGAGAGGACCCCAGAGGAGATATACTCAATGGAGAAAAAAACTGGGGGTTGTCTTTCTCTTCCAGCAAGAATACTAGAAGGAAGTACCTCAGGTAGTAAGGGAGCTACAGTAATCTTACGAATAGACTTTGCAAGACACCCCATCCAGGTCCATTACCCTTCTTAATCATTGACACACCATGAAAAGAAAGGATTTCTTAAAACAAGTAGATATGTGGTCTTAAATCTTTATTAAGTATCAAATATTTCTCCAACATAAATTATATTCCAATTGCAAGCCTGAAAGCAAGACATACGTTTAGAGACAAACCCCTTATGTACAGTTGTTGGACTTGAGCTTAACAAATATAGTTAAACCTTTTCAACAGTAAATTCTGTTTAAGCTTTTATAAACATAAAAAATAAAAATGAATGACATCAGTACTAAACCAAGCATTTAAAAAACAAATATATAACTTCAGAAATGCCTTTCAGAATGCTGACGTTAATAAAGGGAGAGTCCTTGAATGCAGGGGATGAAGCAGGCTGAAATTGCTTTAGACCATTTCCTGGTTTCTGCGAATAGCACAGCAAAGGATCATGCTGAAAATCATACCAAAAATCTGAAAAAGAAACATACACACACAATTGGCAAAGTTTCCTCATGAAAATTATAAATGACATTCAATATTTAGTTCTGGATGTAGCTGTGACCTAAAACTGTATGTAGTCATGCCAGTAAAGGTTTGTTATCAGTCCAGTGCATTTTTAGAATTTATTCAGTCCCAGCTTATACAGAAAAACTTTAGTGATTCATACTGCAGGGCTCATTTGCAAAGTGGAGTGGAGCAAGTAAATAGCTCTAATTCAATACAATGGTAACTAATGCCACCATAAAATTTCACATAGCATTCCATATCAACATTCATAATGAATTTTAATTTGTATTTAATTACAATGCATTGCATCCTTAGCCCTTATGAGAAAAGCTTTATTTATTTAAATGCCTAGAAAGGAACAGTGAGGACAGATTACCAAGTCAGGGCCAACCCACTTGTCAGGCAATGTAGCATATGATCGCTATTTTACATGTTTGTATAAATTAAAGTGTCACATTCATCATTGTGCAACATGAATCCATAAACCAATCCTTATGGAAGGGCCATAACCTACCATCACTACACCAACACCAATGCCCACTGCTCCAATCACATTCAGCTTTGTAGTGAAGAAATCCTCAATAACTTGAGGGCATGCCTGGAAGAGAAATTAATCTTCAGAACTTCTGCATGCAGGAACACTAATGAGATAGAGATTGCTAGCTTCTGATTAACTCCAGATTCAGTGAGTTCCTGTCCTAACCGCAAAAGACAGGCAGAGGCTCATTCCTCACATCATATGAAGCTCTGAAGCACCTCAAAAGACGCCTCTCCAAATCAGGAAATGGACAGGGCTTGTGGAAACCACAAATTCTGGAGGCAAAACCTGGGCAGCTCTGTAGCACCAGATCTGACTGCCTAAGAGACGTGTTTATCTTGGGAGTAAGTGGTGATGAAGCAGAGAATGAGGAAGACATTTTGTTCTGTTAGACTATTACACAGTGCTGTTAGCAAAGAACGACTGTGAAACCTACATTGTGACAGTCTCCTCCTCCTTCAAGCTCCAACTCAAAAACAATGCCTTTCATGTAGGGTTTTGACTAAGATTTCCAACAAGAAGAAACTGCATTTGTTCATATTTCCAGTCCCTCATTATTCTGGCTCCCTTTCCCTCTTCTTCCCTTCTGTCTGGCTGTTGAAATTTAGTCTGAAAGTCAGGGCAGAGGCTTATTATTGCTTCATCATGACTACAGAGGTATATAGCCAAAAAGATATTACACAAAAAGGGTGAACCACCCTAGATCAAGACAGGAAGGTTAAGCTGAAGATGCAGTTCCATTCAAGACTTTGGTATCCTACAAGCAAGCTTAAGGCAAAGCCCAGTGAACTAGGTTTGAGAGCACACTCCTATTTTGATATCCATAAATATTTGAACTTGAATGTTTATGGTCATCCAGTGCTGAGTGGGAGACATGGAAATTTTTGTGCACTGAGCTATTTTGCTCATCTAGTTGGAGTGTTTTGGATGGAGAAAGAAGGCTGGAGAGGCATCAGAGTAACTCACATCATGGTCTCTCTAGTCTCATCTCCTTCCTGTCACTCCCCATCTGAGAATACTTTCCTGACGTTCAAGTACATCGGATATAGTTCCCTCCATGCCAGCTATGAGTGGGAGGGGACAGAGCTCAGATTCTCAGCTCTGAATCAAAGCACTCAGATCTGGGAATCTGGAATATCCTCTGGCGCATCAAACACTATCTAGGGACTATCAGATTGTTCCTTAAATTTCTTACACTCAAACCAGTGGGACTTAAATTTAGAGTCAGTCACATTGTGCCCCAAGTTCATTCAAGTACCATATCCCCAGGCTTCAATGAGAGCTGAAGGAAGGTCTTAACTCATATTTTCCTTTCTCATGGAATAGCCATTTCTTCTCTTCACCTCATCCATCCTACTGAAAAGTTGTTCACTAATATGGTCAGCTAAGGCTTACATTTGCACCTCTTCAGCTTTCAGATATAATGGTTCAAAGAGCTGTCTACTTTGTGTAAAGAAGTCCACAACTCCTCACTTGTTGGAATGTTCCAATGTTGGAAGAAATGTCTTTTACCTTAAACATAAAATAGGTTTCTTAGCCATTTGAGCTTCCTTTATAGTTCATATAAAGTAATTCTTAATATGAAGCAAAAGCAATCTCAGAAGTAACTGAGTGAGATTGAGTAAACACCTTCTTTGGTATGAGTGTAAGGCAACAGCAGTTTCAGGGTAATGGTGTCTTCTCTGAGGTGGATGTTGGGAAACAAATTCGGGAAGCAGAAGAATCTTTCTTTAATGTCAGAGGTGGGCAACAGCCATTTAAGGGATAGGTATACAAGGGGGACTGAGCCAGCACCTCTTTAGGATAACTGTAAGGTGAAAGCCATCTGGAAGAAGACAATACTTTTTTTGTGGTTTCCACCTTCTATCTCTTAACCCATATGTACTAAACACAGCTTGTGAGCATGAACTCAGTTAATCTCTAATATTCCCTGGAACAGGCACATGAAGGCTCAACTCACCACCAGGCTCAACTCACCACCAGTTGAGTGGGGTCTAGATCCTGATTCCAAGCTAAGGGGATCTTCTCAAGGGCTAAATGAATTTGAGGCATGCAAACTACTGATAGCACCATGATCAGATTAGTTCAAACCAAAATATTCATTTACACTTTTCAGTACAATACAGTTCCTACATACCTGCACAGCCTGTTTGGGACAAGTGTCTGACAACGCTGCTTCTAGGGTTCCCGCATAGCCACAACAGTTTAGCTACAGCAGAAAGAATATTAGATATTTTGAAATGCAACTTTCATGCTGACATGTTCATCCTAGAAACATATACCATTGCCCAGCTAGCATTGAACCTGCTGGTTTCCATTCTTACCTCCAATCCTTGGCTTGGGGTTATCCCCTCACAAGTTCCCTACTGTCTTATCAGGACTTAAGTAAAAGCCAGAAAAAGATGGGGGGTGGGCAGGCTGCAGTGGTTGAAAGAACCACTCATGATTAACCAAGCCCCTTCATCTTGGGTAGCAGCTATTCAAGAGGATAAAAGTCACTCCTAACAGGGAGGTAGGGATGGGTTTGTACTCTTAGATCATTGTGACAGATGCTTGCAGTGTGATAAGCCAACACAATTCTTGTAACTGCCTCACCAATTGCCTCATTTTATCACAGTTTGTTCAAACTTAAGGTCCCATTTAATGCTCTCACTCTTCTCCATGGCACTACTCCAAGGGTTAACCATTCACTGGGGATATATATCTTGGTCTAAGGGAAGCTGGAGGGAGTGAAGGGAAGATGACAATTCTTCTTTAAAACACAATTTTGTGATCCACCATCTACTAACTGTGGGTCTCTTGCTAATTCTAATGAGATAAAGGATGCTAACCCTTTATAGCTGGCTGACTAAATGATATACAATCTTGACGGTATGGTGGACTGTATTCATACAACCATGTCACTTGAAGGCAAATAATATTGTTGTGGTGTTCTGAAGAATTATCTGTCCACTATTTTGTTCCCCCAGTCTGCCAGGTTCCAGAAAACTATACTAAAAAGGGCCTAGTGAGTTTGTGCTCTTAACTGTGACTCAGAGGCTCTAAAATTTAGGAAGGACCTGCAATTAATTAAAAACTCTAAATTTTCTTGGTGGTTTCCTCTTTTGAAAACAGAACATTACAGAGTTAGCTATCTGTCCAGATTGAGACTATTCTCTTTGAGAAACACATTTATTGAGTTGCAGTTTCAAGTTATGCCAACCATAGTTTTGGATGGATGATATAACAAGGTGCCTTTTGAACATGGATTATGTGCTTGTGGTTTATATCAAGTGGAAGACAACATTAATTACATGTTAATCTGTCTTCTATATACTGACCCCAGAGATTCCTGAAACCCTTTCTATCATATGGATAAAGGAATGCTTGGCAGAACCACATACAGTTGGTCTGTTTGCTCTGGCAGCAAAAAAGATCAGGAAGAGAGAGAATTAAACAAAATTGCTATAAACTGCATTGGGGATTCAGTGTTAAGCTAAAGGCGAACTTATGTTCATAGTATAGTTTAATCCTTTTATATTTTACACTGTTTGAAATTTTGCATTTGTTATGTGCATATATTTGATTTGTTCGCCATAGTTTTTGGCTAGTACAAAAAACTTTGGTTGACACACCTTTAAAACATCAAGTACCCTATATTTTGTGGTATGCATGTTGTTCCCACAAACCATTTAAAAATTAAAATCAAGGCTTTTAGTCTTTGCTGTCCTCACTGGATCAGTGGAGATCAGGCAACCCCACTGCAACAGACTCACACAGTTCTTCCTCCCCACTTTTTATTTTACTTGAATGTTTCCTTCCTTCCTAACTGTAAACTGTGTTTAAGTTTGGATGATAAGCATAGTATGTTTTATGCAACTCTGAACAGACTAGCATCAACTGTAGACAGTATTAAGAAGGGGAAATGAAAGGAGGAACAGGGCACAATCCATCTCTTAATTATGGTGTGAGGAGGTAGAGGGGCTCACCCATTTTCTTGGGACATTCAACAGAGCAGGGCCAAAGACAACAGGGTATGGCTGGGAATCTGCTTAGGCAGAACAATGCATGGGACTGCAATGGCCGGGAGATGTGGGCGAGTGCGCAGCTGTGCGAGATTGCCGGCCAAGGAAGGAACAATTGGGTTGGGTGGAGTGGTGCGCAAGAGAGGGTATAAAAAGGAAGCAGAAGGGGAGGAGAGAGAGAGAGAGAGAGGCAGAGAGAGACAGAAGAGAGGCGCAAAGAAAGAAAGGTGCATGGAGTTTGTGATGGGAAAGAAGAGGGCCAGGAGAGAAGAGGGCCAGAGCAGGCAAGGGCTGGGCATGCACAGCCGTGGAAGGTGTAAACGGCAATAGAGAGGCCTGATGAGTGCAATGGCTTCCTTGTGTCTTTCCTCATGGAAATAAGGGAACAAGGCATCTTTACTGTGCCCCTCCCTCCTAATGCAGTCACAATGGTGGAGAGTGTGGGCAGGGCAGCAGGGGTGGACACAGGTGATTCCCACTGCCCCAGCTGGCTCCTGGATGGCTTGGTGGGCTGAGCAGCAAAGGCTCCAGGCCCAGGAGCAGCAGCACCTGTTGCAGCAATTAGCTACACAACAGATGCAACTGATGGAGCAAGTCTTCAACACACAGCTCCAGAATGAAAGTTTCTTGCTCCAGCAAGTGCTGGGAGGACAACAAGGTCTTCAAGATGAAACCATAGTAGGGCAGACAGGAGGAAAAGGCCCAGGTCACATCCGGATCGCTAAGATGACCGCAGAAGATGACCCTGAAGCCTTTCTAAATACATTTGAAAGGGTTGCACTGGCTGCCAAGTGGCCCAAAGACCAGTGGGCCTTCATCCTAACTCCTTGTCTCACAGGTCCTGCCCAAGAAGCGGTGGACACACTTACTCCAGAAGCTGCAGGCCAATATGATTTAGTGAAGGCAACCATTCAAGGGATCTTGAATGTCTCTGTAGAGACCTATAGGCGGTGGATGAGAGGGGTTGTATTTACAACTGGCACATCTCCCAGGGCTTTGGGACAGAAGATTAATGCTAATGGACTGAGATGGTTGAAGCCAGCAGTCCACAGCACTGAGCAGGTAGCTGAGCTGGTTCTGCTGGAATAGTTTGTAACCATCCTTCCTGCCCCAGCCAGAAACTGGGTTAGGTGTCAGAGATCTGAAACCCTAGAAAATGCCATCATGCTTATGGAGACCTTTGCGGCCGCTGAAGAGCCAGATGAAGGGGATAGGCTGGGTCCACCCTGGCAAAAAGGCCAGAGACAGAGAGCACCTGTGGGTTGTGGTGGCAGAAGTCCAGAGAGGTCAAGAGCAGCTGAACCAGCACCCACTGGAAGGGGCATGAGGGGCAAGAATGTCACCCCACTGGAAGTGCATGCACCTGCCCCCCTACCCCAGCATCTCCACACCTTACAAATGGGAAAGGAAGAGGGTCCCACTGAAGCCAGTGTGTTTTACTTGTAGCAAGGAGGGGCATTTCCGGTGGGACTGTCCATTGATGGGAGTGTGACTTTGTGGAAGCCTGGTGGTCTGCACCGGTGAGTGCCGCCCCTCAGCAAGCTTGGCTGGTTCAGGCCAGGGTGGATAAGAAGGAGGTTGAGGACTTGGTAGGCATAGGCTGTGGTCGCACCCTGATTAGACAAGCCCGGGGCAGCCCCTTGGCCAATATACTACAGGTTAAGTGTATACATGGGGATGTTAAGCCTTACTCAACCAGGTGGGCCAAGGTGGAGGTAAGGGGGAAGGTACAACTATGTAAAGTAGGAGTTGTCCCTAGTTTAGTTTATGGCTTGATAACTGGAAGTGATTGGCCCCATTTTGAAGATCTGGTAAGGGAGGTGAGCTTGGAGGTTGTCTTGGCAGGGGAGGAAGAAGACATAGGCCTTGCAGCTCTGTGTACCTCTCACAAGTGACTAGTCCTCCTCCAGCAAAATGATGCCTCCCTTGTCCATGCCCTGACGCAAGTCTAGGACCACTCAGAAACAGGAGAGGGTGCAAGATGTGGTCCCCACTTTGAGATTACAGGGGGGTTGTTGTACAGGGTCGTACCTGCACAGGAAGGCCACGAAGAACTGAGACAGCTGGTGATACCCGAACCCCTTAGGTTAGCGGTCCTACAACTGGCCCACAAGCTGCCTACCACCAGCCACCTAGCTGTGGAGAAAACCACAGACAGGCTAGTCCAGAGGTTCTACGGGCCAGGGGTATATGCCCAGGCCAAGTAGTACTGTTTGTCCTGTCCTGAATTCCAGAAGACTCAGAGGAAAGGAGCCTCTGCAGGGTCCTTGATACCAGTGCCAGTCATAGGGGAGCCTTTCAAAAGGATTGGGGTGGACCTGGTAAGGCCCTTGGAGAGGTCAGCCTGAGGACACCAATATATACTGGTGGTGATTGACTATGTGACCTGATGCCCAGAAGCCGTTCCTCTAAGAAGTACCTCAGCTTGGGTTATAGCCTAGGAATTGATGGGTTTTTTTTGCCAGGGTGGGCTTCCCCAAGATTTTGACAGATCAAGCCACTAATTTCATGAGCCAGGTGATGAGGCAGATGTGGGCCCTGTTGAAGATAAGACCCCTAGACACAATGGTATATCATCCACAGTCCAATGGTCTAGTGGAACAGTTTAATCAGGCTCTTAAGCAGTTGCTTAAAAAGTTTGTGTCAACCTATCCATGCCAATGGCATGTTCTGTTGGGGTCCTTGATGTCTGCAATAAGGGAGGTGCCTCAAGCCTCTTTAGGGTTCTCACCTTTCAAGTTGCTATACAGGCGGCAGCCCTGGGGAATTCTGGATCTGGTCAAGGAGCACTGGGAAGCCTCAACCCCAGAGCTCACTTCCACCCTCCAGTATGTGCTGGATATGAGAAGGCAATTCACTGACCTAGCTCAGCAGGCTGAGAGTAATTTGAGGCAGGCCCAAGGAGAGCAGTGCTATTATTATGATCAGCAAGTCCAACCCCGGACATTTCAACCAGGCCAGCATGTTCTCCTGCTCCTACCCACAGGAGGAGGCAAGTTGTTTGCACAGTGGCAGGGACCCTATGAGGTCATTAGAAGGGTGGAGGCAGTAGACTATGAGATAAGTCTCACTGATAAGAAGCACTTGACCCAGATTTACCATGTAAATCTACTCAAAGCCTGGAAAGAAAGAGTTACAGCTACCAGGCAGATTGCACAGCCAAGGGACCCAAGACTCTTTATATCTACCCTGGAAAGTTATCCCTTGATCCCCAACTAACACTAGCTCAGGTAGCACAAATCCAGACCTTGGAGGTGGAATTTGCTGGGGTATTCTGACCAGGGCACCCGAGAGTCGTAGCCCATCATATCCAAACAGTCCCTGGGGCCATTGTCAGAGTACCAACACAGTCCTATCCTCCTCAACTGAAGCAAGTGATAATAGAGGAGGTAAGATGGATGCTTCAATTAGGGGTCATCAAAAAATCGGTGAGCAGTTGGAGAAGTCAGCTGGCCATAGTCCCCAAGCCTTATCAGAGTGTCTACTTCTGCATCAATTTCAGAAAAGTCAGTGCAACATCAAAGTTCGATGCCTACCTCATGCCCCAAATAGATGGGTGGCTGGATCCTTTGAGGCAGGCCCATTTCCTTTCCACCTTAGATCTCACCAAGGGATATTGGCAAATTCCATTAACTAAAGAGTCCAAGGAAAACGTAGCCTTTGCCACCCCTGTAGGGCTATTTCAATTTAAATATATGCCCTTTGGGTTGCATGGGGCCGCAGCAACCTTTCAGTAGCTTATGGACAAAGTGTTGGGGCATTTGTCCCATTGTGCAGCTGCCTATATCGACGATATTGTGATATTCAGTCACACTTGAGAGGACTACCTCTAGCAAGTATTAGAGGCTTTAAGACGGGCTGGGTTGACAGCTAATCCAGGCAAGGATTAGACAGCTAATCCAGCTGTAGAACAGCTCGACAGGGGGTGCAGTATTTGGGGTACATCATAGGACACGGTCAGATACGGCCTATGGTAGATAAGGTGGAGAAATTAAGCCAGTGGCCATGGCCTCGCACAAAAAAGGAAATGAACAGTTTCTAGGGCTTGCCAGTTACTATCGGTGATTCATTCCCCATTTCTCCTCCAAAGCAGCCCCCTTGACAGCTGCAGTTAAGAAAAGGCAGAGCCGTACCCTAGTGTGGTCCAGGGAAATGGAGCAGGCTTTTGAAGACTTGAGAACCTGCCTCCTCAGTCAGCCTGTTTTACGGTCGCTAGATTTCTCCTAGCCTTTTACTCTACAAACTAATGCTTCAACTGTGGGCTTGGGGGCAGTTCTGACATGGAGAAGGGGAGATCAAGCATCCAGTACTCTACTTAAGCTGTAAGCTGGAGCCATGAGAGCTCCAATACTTCATGATAGAAAGGCTCTAGCCATCAAATGGGCTGTTCTGGCCCTGAGACACTATCTCTGGGGTGCCCCATTCACGTTGGTCACTGACCATGCTCCGCTACAATGGCTGAGTAGGATGAAGGATGACAATCCTCGCCTTACCCATTGGTATTTAGTGTTACATCTGTATGCCTTAACAGTCAAACATAGACATGGTGCCCAACATGCTAATGCTGATTTCATTTCCCACCAGGGTCCCTGCCCCTTACATGGAGATGGTGAACCCCTCTTGAAGGGGGGGTATGTGAGGAGGTAGAGGTGCTCACCCATTTTCCTGGGACATTCAATGGAGCAGGGCCAAAGACAACAAGGCGTGGCTGGGAATCTGCTTGGGCAGAACACACAGGACTGCAACAGCCAGGAGATGTGGGTGAGTGCCCAGCTGTGCGAGATTGCCAGCCGGGGAAGGAACAGCTGAGTTGGGTGTAGCGGTGTGTGAGAGGAGGGTATGAAGAGGAAGCAGAGAAAGGGAAGGGGGGAGAGGAGAGAGAGGGAGAAAGGCAGAGAGAGATGGAAGAGAGGTGCAAAGGAAGAGAGGTGTGGGGAGTTTGTGACGGGCTGGCTTGGCTGCCACTCGCAGACAGGCAAATGCAAGTAGCGAGGGGAAACCTAGTGAGGAAGAGACACAGCTCTCCATTGCTGCAGGGGCGATGCCATTCATTGCCATAGAAACAGGAGAGAAGGCCAGAGCAGGCAAGGGTTGGGTGCTTCAGGATGCACAGCCGTGGAAAGTGTAAATGGCAATAAAGAGGTCTGGTGAGTGCAATGGCTTCCTTGTGGCTTTCCTCATAGAAATAAGGAAACAAGGTGTCTTTAGCATCCCATTCCCTCCTAATACAGTCACATATGGCTAAATAGACCTTTTATTTTCCTGGCATTTTAATTGTCAAATAATATTATTGAATTTTATATGAGTTTTTTTATCTATATGGTCATTGATGTGCTATATTTGGCTTTTTTCTTGGACTATGTATTATTATTACCATTCATTGTTATGCTCCAATGAAGTTACCCACCCTGTAATATACTGTATGTTTTTGGATTGTTTCGATTTGAACACTTTTCTGAAAGCTGTTGCTAATTGAGTGGTTTATAAAAAGTCATAAATAAATACATAAATAATCCTGAAAGGTTACATAAAGACACAAAAGTAGAAGGGCTGACTTACTGCAAACTGAATGGCTTTCAAAGTTTCTTTGACAGAAGGCTCATGTCTTCTTTCGTAAGTGGCCTTATAGAAATTATTCACGTCATCAACAATCTAAACAAAATAAAAGATAATAATCCAGCCCAATAATGACAAAAAACTTGCTTTAGTTACTTAGGATGAGAGCCAATGCCTGTTAAGACAGAAAAACTCCTACAATTCCCAGTATTTCCTAGTCATCCAAGTCCTGCCGTTCCCAGTACTCTGCAACTAGTTTGCTCAAAGCTGTAGGATGTCTTCTGTCTCAACATGCAGCAGATTGCACTCTTTGTGACAAAGGAGAGAGAAGGAATAAAATACTTTGCATGCAGGAAGGAAGTGAAGTTTTTTGGATAATCTCTGATGGGAAAAAAATGTCTACGCTTCTCAGGCCCTTTAGTATGACATTAGAATACTTAACCTATGGTTAAGGACTGGTCATGAACAAGAATGTGAAACCGTGGTATCAACTGGGGTTGTTTAATCTGTTTTGAATGTTACAACTGTCTTGAACCAAACTATAGATAAAGCAATTACCCTGCTTGTCTAGCCTCTCAACTACAAGGTTGAGAAAAAAGGTTGGTGGGGCTGACTCAACAGCATGCATTCTTTAGGAAAGTAGCTTTGAGTTTAAATGTCCAAGAACTTCTATGTAAGCTTAAAACAGTCCAGGATGGGATCATGTCAGAAGCTGGAACCATAGTCTACCAAATTGTCCAAGTTGGGGTTGCCAAGTTGGGGTTGTTCTCTCTCTGAACTGATTTTCTAGCTTGGAAATGTTCCTACTTTGAACTGTAATGAAGACTGCACTGGCCAGGGAGTCTTTAACAGTTCCAACTAGCCTTGATCATTCATGGCCTAGTCACTTCCAGGTTTTGTTACTGTAATACCATCTCTTTTCATCTCTTGAAAAGGAATCTGGATATTTCAGTGGCCAGAATGCTATGCCCAGACTTGTGCCTGTAACCCACCCAGGGAGACACGTGGCTAAAGGGGCAGGCTAAAACTCAATCAATCAATAGCAAATTTGATAAAATTAAGCCCTTTTTGTGCAGGTTTTAACAAATTTCCTCTCCTAAGGCTTAGCTGCTGGAAGCAGGAGTTATATGCTCCAATGTGCTGACATTTCTTTGCAATTTTGGCCGTACCACATTTGTCTGCAGTCCTGACCACTAATGGGGCATGGCCTCCAAGTGTTTTTCTAAAATTGAATCTGACCCTTGAGTTGACAGATGTTCCCCATCTTTGCTTGACTGAAACCCAGTGGACAAGCTGTCACAGTTCTTTATGGCATACTAAAGGCAACTTTAGAAAGTAACTTCAAAATTTACAAAAGTTGACCTACTTTTGATCTGTTTGCAAATCCCCAGATGGCAGCAGCTACTTCAAGTGCAAAGATCAAGAGAAGGAAGGTAAAAAACTAGAGAAGATTGAGAGAAAGGTCACAGATAAACACACCTGACAAATGTAGATGACTTTATAAACATGAGATGATAGTTCTATAGTTAGTGCTTTGAAATGTTCAACATGTTTTGTATAGTTTAGCTCAGTTATTTGTGCAAGAACCACACTGTAAGGCAGACCAATATTATCATCTTCATATTGCACACAGGTGGGCCAAGAACAATAGCAAGTTATATAAGGTCACCTAGAAACTTCAAGTAGCTATCTCAAAGGATGGCTTCCCATCTAGGATACTCATACAGCCTAATCCTATCCACACCGGTTTTCAGTTTTGCATAACTATAGAGCTCGTGATACCAAAATCACAGATGCTGTGTCTGAAGTATCTTTTTATAAGCATTAGAATTTTGAGGTTTATAATGATGGAATTGACATTTTTGTGTATTTATTTGTACCCCACCTTTTTCCTGCAAGGATATGGAAATGTTCCCCTTTAATACACATGCCACAGAGGCACTTGCTATGAAAGTACCAGTAGAAAGTACTACCATGGCTGTACCACCTTGGAAGTTGTCATTATCATACAATATAATAAAAACTACACTTTCTCCTGTGGACAGTTCACACATTAGAATGAGCTTCAATGTATGTAGGAATGAGTTCCATGATAAACACATGAAAAGCTTATTGTTAAGTTATTCTAGCTTCTTCAACTGAGGACTAGTTCTAAAGGAATAGATATTTTCTGATTCCTTGTTCTCTAAGTGGAATAAAGCAGACATTAAAGAATGACACACCCTAGTCTTAATTATCCCTGTTTTAGAAACTGGTCTTCAGAGTCAATACTTACCAAGCCAAGCATGCACTGAGATTCCTGTATTGCTCCACAACATCCCAGGAAGCCAACAAGCATTATGAGTGCACCAGCTCCAATTAGAATGTAAACCCCTGAAGTGATGTTAGAAAAGAATGAAAGTTTACTCTGTGCTAATAAGGTGTCACATTTTATGAAGGTTGAGTTAACATAAAGGCTATCAGCTACACAGTGGCTAATATGATTCTTCTTGTTTCTGGCACCTGATGTGGCCTAATAAAAACACTTGAGACCAAAAACCAAACCTAGAAGCAATGTTTCAGAACAAGCTTTTATAATCTGGCAGATTCTGTTAGTGAAGAACAAAAAAAAGGTGGGGGGAGGTCTCCCCACTCCACGGCATCTGACTACACACAGGTGCAGCATTATGGTAAGCATGCAACATGAGATACTTCAATATGGTGGGAGCTTTTGCTCCACTCCTTCAGTGCCTGAACTCTCACAAACATACAGTGCATCAAACGGTCATGAGGTTTGCTCCTATGATAAGGGGTATAGATCTGGGAGGCTAGTGCAATTTCTCCATCAACAATCCATGCCACTGTGTATGTTCACTGTCACCAGTGCAAATGCAGGAAAATGAAGCTAGCTGCTAAGCCACATAATCCTCTCAGCCAGAAGCTCAGTTGAGAAGAACCTGTGTTTACCTACTTGCCCACACAGACACTACCCTCCTGACCCAAATAACTACCACAAATTCACAAGTTGGCAGCCCAACTGTACAACTCCTGGAGTTTAAGAACAAGCACTTGAATGCATGCATCAAGGAAAAACTTAGATTTGATTTTTTTTATTAATAGATATATGCCATGGTATGATTTTTATTATAATCAGTACGTTTGGAGACAAATTAAAAGCAAAAAGTACGACTGTGGCAATCATTTTGAAGCTTATATATGTGTCAAACTGTTACAGTGACCATTCATTAACAAGCAGCCCACCATTAGTAAGTCAACTAACACAATGAGATAAAAACTATTATCTGGATTGAGGAAAAGGGTGATAGAGCTGCACTTCTTGAAAAGCTACATTCTCTGGTTTCATGCCAAAATTTGTTTGAACTGCCTTTGTTCAAGAACTGCCACTTGTAATAGATCTGTAATAGAGTATCCTGCAAGTTGAAAATGTCCTCTCTTTCCCTAATATTGCCTTTTATAATACTTGATGTGTGTCAGTTTATTCTTTTGCACGGATCAGGAACAGGAAACATTTGGACTAGATCTGGGCAATTTTAGGTGGTCCAGTGGCTCTTTATGTTCCATGTCCCCAGACACACTCTTGCTCCTCCACTCGATGGAATTCTGCAGGCTGTTGGTAGCTCACCCTCCTCCACTCCAGCAATTTCTTGTTGATTTCAGCAACAGACCACTACAGAACTCTACAATGGCTAGATTTAGCTTGAACAGAAGATGAGTTTGACTATTGTAGCACTCTGTAGTGATTTGTCACTGACTTTCAGCAACCAACTGGTCTAGCTGTTGGTTAGTATGGCTCTCTATCTGCCTTCATAAATTTGGCTTGTGGGGGGTGGCATGGAGCTGCAGAAATGGTTTCCCACTACTGGTATAAAGACTGGCTGGTTGATCCATTTAAGCCCTGAAGGAGAAACTCATCTCTTGTAGTGCAACACTGAGCCACAGAAATGAATAAGCCTGCTATCTTCTAGCCTCTAGTCATGTGAATAGTAGCTGTTGGATGAAAGTATCAATTTTCAATCTTTTCTCTTAAGCAGAGGATTAGATTCAGCATCATGTTAGTGGACTTCTACCTGCACAACAGGACTTTCCCATTTTTTTATCTGCCCTGCAGCCTCCATGCACCTCAAATCTGTCCATGCAGATTTGGCAGGGGGATGGGACTACAAGGGAGGGGAAATCTGTTTCACTAAGAGTTTCCTTTCTGTCAGTGGGTGACCAGCCCTGGACTGATCCCAGACTATAGGTGGGTTTTCACATCAGAAGTCAGTGGCTTGCTTGCCCCATGGAATATGATATGCCCAACAGACAATTGGCTCTGGAGCCACCTTTCCTCATCAGACCTTGTACAGGTACCTTAAGAGAAATCATGGTAGCTCCAAGGTTCTCCCCACTCCCTGAAGGTCCCACAGACCATTTTGTGCACCCCTCAGCTTTTTCTAAGATTGCTGAATGTAGGCTGTCAAGCCTTCTCTTGCTATCCCAGTGGAGGCATCAATAAGGTGCCTGTCCAAGGACCCAGTCTGCCCTGGAGGCACTGCCTATGGCCTCCCCCCTTAGAAAATAGAGCAATTACTGGTGCAAGTAACTGCATTTATACTTTTTTAATCCCAAATTGCTCTGCTTATGCAAAGGAGGCATGACTTTGGCATGTGCTAATTCTGTGTACCTCTCCACTGGTCTTTCCCCTAAATTTTGCCTGTGGAGTTTACAACCTGGTGTTCATGGCAAAATGGAAGTAACACACTGGACATCTGATCACTCCTCCAAAATCCCAGGGGTCCTGCCAGAAAGGGGTGTCCTCTAAAACACTCCCTTTGTCTGGATTTTTTGCAGCAGGATATGTGTGCCCCTAGGTTATCCACACTTGGAAAACTGAAAGATTCAGCTGCTAAAAGATGCTTCTTCTCCATGTTTTTTTTTCAAATGCCCATAAAGTTTTTAGGCAAGTGTGCACTCCCCACACTAAATAAATAAATAAATCCAACTTTGTAGTACTTTCAAAACCCACTTTATCAGCATTTAAAAAAAATAAGAGGAATCAGGACACTTGCAAAACTAAAGACTTGCTCTGTTTGTGCAATTGTGAGTGTAGTTATTTGCATACATAATTGGTCTATTTTTTTTCTTTGAAAGAATAGACTATTACATGTAGCTCCTCCAAGGAACCACTGTGAGTTTCCTTGGAATGATAACTTGTGGATGCTCCCACTGGGGTAGCAAAAGAGGCACTGAAGTATATTGACTTTTTCTATTGACTCTTACCATTTTGGGGATATATTCCATGTGCCCTGTTTCAAGGTAGAGACCTACAAACGCCCCATCCTGCACAAAAACATCATACTTCAGCAGTTGTTTACAACTTATATGACTCTGTAGTTCTCACATGATGTACCTGTATAGAATGATGTATGATTTTCATCATGGTCAAAAACATCTTTTGTCTGCGAATCAAACCGAAGCCATAATCCAATTGCAAGGACAGCTGTCCCTGCAAGCTGTGAAGAGAAGGAAAAGGGTAGACATTTTAAACTATGCATTCTGTGTTTTAATATTTCATATCAAGTGCATTTTGTTCAGCCTTCAATACAGATATTGACTTGGTTTTGTGGTCAGTGGCTTCCAAATTCTGTTCCCAAGATCCTTGTGGTGCTTTGAAAGCTGATAGAAGTTTCTCAATCAGATAAAATTCCCTGAAAATAATAGTTTTACGTGCTGCTGCACTAGAATCTGGCAAGAAGGGCATGAAGGTGATAGATGACTATGCTGCGTGGACTCTATTAAAGTTATTACAGATTTAAGGTCTGTAAACCTTTTTGAGATGTAGTGATAAGAATGCAGAATTCTATGGCAATTCCACAATTTCAGCATGGTGGAATATGGAAAAAACAAGAAAATATTGCCAGTGCCGGCATACCCTTCTTTGTTTCACAGGACATGTTCATCATTTCTCTGTTGGCACATCCTATCTCAAATTTGGAAATTTTTCCAGGAAGTAACTGCTCCTAATTTACCATAAAATGGTGCAGTTAGCAATGCTAGGAGTTATACCATGTAGAACACATGTCAGCCAGTGACTGAGTTTAATGTTCCCACAAGTGAATTGTTATCAGAATCTACAAATATCTAAGTGACCATTTTTGCCTAATGTTTGAGGCTTTGTACCAAGCCTTTTATAGTTCAAATTCTACAGCAGAGCTAGGGAACATCTGTCAGCTTGAAGGTCTGATTTTGGAGACACTCCAATCTTTGGAGACACTCCCCCAAGGACTATATTCCAGTAGTGGAGATGGCAAAAAATAAAATATTAAAAACTTTAGTGCTTAAATGTCTCCCTGCCCATAAATAAACCTCAGGTGAGGCATTTCAGTGTTTTAGAATGGGGAAAAAAACTGGGAAAAGCCAGAAAATGACTGGGGCTTTGGGAAAAGGGGGCATGGCCAGCTGGAAAACCTTGGTGAGCCAGACAGGTGTACAAGGAGGGCTGTATTTGGTGCATGGGCCTGAGGTCTCCCATCCTGCTGTACAGAAGTTGAACTACAGAGAAGCAGAGGCTGTAGACATTGCAGCTGTAGTGCAATGGCAGCAACTCCATATAACATGCAAGTAGAGATGAGCTGTTGTGCTGCTGTGTCCAGTCCTGAAGCAGGGTGAACTAGAGCAAGGAGCCTCTATGAGAGGGCTCCCAACACAATTTCAGATCCTTGTAATCAGGGGCTAGGCCTAGCAAGGGAATCCCTACTCTCCTGCCTCAAGTATTCAACACCTGAGTTTTATTTTTATCAGAACAAGGCTGTGAACACAACGAAACACTCATAAGCCCTGCTAGCAGGTTTTCACTCAGTTCTAGTTACCATTTGCTACTATTCAGCATATGCCAGAAAAAGGAATGAATGTCTTCAAAGGCTTTCCCCTTCAAGTAGATAGATAGCCTCTTCTTCCTTCTCTTAGAGCAGGGGTCCAGAGCTGCACGTGGCTCTTGAATCCCTCTGCTGTGGCTCTGTCGCTCAAAACACACGCTGGCACAGTCGCCGATCTGCGACCTGTGCTGGAACGGCCGCCAATCTGCAACCCACGCTGATTTACTGAGCTTTTCCCCCCGGTATGCCAACCATGAATGAACTGAAGAAAAGTTTCTGAAGAAAACCGAACATTTAATGGCACGTGGGTAGATTAATTTGCTTTTACTGTTGATGAACTTACGGGGTTTGCTGTTTAATGCATGCAGCCCTTTAGCACTGACTTTGACTCTGCAGGAAGCTGGTCTCCTATTCAAAATATATGAAAGGAGTCCTACTAGTTTATAATGTAAGATTAAAAATAACAGTTTTTAGTGACTGAACAAGAGCTGCAGCTAAATCATAATGAAGATATAGATCTACTTCCTTGTTTTAAGAAGAGTCTTATAAAAATTCCAGCAACATTATTGCATTGGGAGAGGGATGTTTGTTCAATATTTCACCAGACACCAGGTCTCAAACAGACATTGAGTATTTTATTTGAAAGTAACTGTCAACCCAGCATCTTTTTTTTCGGAGTTCAAAATGTTTTTGCTGCATGCAGAAATAAAAATTTGTTTTCTCTGTAGCAGTTCATTGATTTCATAAATGCAACACAATATAGTTTTTTTATACATAGCATAAAGGTAAAAAATGATATATGCAGTGTGATCTTCATTTTAGATGTCAAAAGGGTTTTGCGGCTCCTACTGTTTTCTTTTCTGTGGGAAGTGGGTCCAAATGGTTCTTGCCGACCCCTGTCTTAGAGGAAGGACAGTGTTTGTTAAAGGAAGTGACCCCATTTTTATTTATTTCATTTTTATACTGCCCTAGCCAAAGGCTCTTTGGGAGGTTAACAAAAGTTAAAAAACATAAAAAGGGAGGAAAACAACATATGAAACAATAAAACAGTAAAATCACAGCAACTGCCATCAGTGCAGAGGTATAACAGCTGTACAAAATAAAATGCAGTATTAAACCAAGATTACAAATGAACTGTTAAAATCTGTTACACATTAGCTAAGAGGTTTTAACTCTAGGAAAAAAAACACTCAAGAGGTGACTTTTGAAATAGCCAATTTCCCAAATACTGACAGCTCATTTTGTAGAGACTTTCCAGTTTTGCCAAAATAATTTCACCTTTGCTCCACATACCAGATTTTGTTTTCCTAATAGCCATATAAAAATTTCCATTATTTCCACTGTCTAAGTTTGTTTCAGGAAGTTCCCCATTGCTGGATAAGCTTGATCACAAATGGAAAGCTATGACACAGATCAGACAGGCAAGCTGCCTAGGCATGGGAGAAGTAACAGAAGAGCTGCTGCAATTGCTTTGACATGTATCACTTCCCAGAAACAATTAACTCATTACTCATAATGAGTCAGGCTGGGAGTAGGAGCATTTCTGTGGGAGAAGGAGCCCTTGGTTGGGTCTTCCCACAGTGAGGTCAGCTGAACACCCTGCCCGGCCTTGCCTGTAGCCCCTGCTTTCAGATGGCACAGGGTCCATAAGTGCCACACCAGCAATCAAGGTGGAGGTAACTGAGGCCTGTTGTTCATTCCTTCCCAATGCTGCTTGCAGCTTTCCTTGTTCCCACCTTTCACCACTGCTTCTGCATAGCAGTGGTAGTGGCAATAGGCAGCATCCAGCCACTTGGGCTTGCTTCCTCATGAGTAGCCAAGCATTTTTAGACATTCTGATTTAGCATCTAGACTGTGCAATTGAATATCTCTGTGTTTAAATACTGCACTGGACTGCAAGTTATCAGGTTCAACTGCCTTAGTAGGGCAGTAACTGTAAAAGGACATGCTCAATTACTCTTCCTTGGCCCATGGAATGCAGTCAAAAAAATCACAAGGGTTTCACTCAGAAAGTAAAACAAAGATCAAAGGTTAAGTGGCATAAAGGAGTGTTCTCAGCCAGTCTCCCACCAGTGTGACATTTCTTTCTGCATTTCTCCTCCTTTTCTTTGTCATGAGTAGGGCTTGAACAATTCTGCTGCTGCAAGCATGTCTACCAGAACCAATGTCACTTGAAACACTAGATAACTTGCTGGAAGGTCAGTCTATGTAGAGTCCATTCCTAATTGCTGTTCCACTCCACCAGTCTGTTGCAGGGTTGTCTCTTCCTACCAGGTGTTCAGCACTGACACATAGAAAGTGCTGGTCGACCTACCTTGAAAATCACACACAATATCTGATATGAGTGCTCCCCTATGTGTTTATGTAGGGTTTTGCTGAGAAGTTGTCAATTTGAATCATAACATGCTGACCTCATACCATCTCTTGAACATCCTGGCAGTGCCAGTTTGGAGCCTTTGAGTGCTAATGGACTGCCATTCCTTTGTGTCACTGAGTGTTCACATGGTCTTGTGTCATACACACTCTCTAATATGTTCAAATCCATGTAGGCTGGTGTATATTAACAATCTGTTGTCATTCTCAAGATTCTCTCCTTTGATAAGCCTGCCTCAACCAAGAATTCCCTCAATCTAACTGGGATTCAGAAACTCCTGTGTGCTTGTTGTTGAGCTACGTCATATTGAAAAGGCAAGAGAAGAAGCTGTCACAATCTCTTGATACCATTATGCCCAGGAGGAGGACAAGTAACATGTAGAGTGCTCAGGCCATGTAGTTCACTTCCAAAGTCAAACATGACAACTTCATCTGTTGCTTCTTTGATAGGCATATTTGGAACTGATGGGAGTCTATTTGAATACCAAGGTGAACCAGAGACCATGCCAATTGTACATGGCTCTCTTCCAGATACACTACAAAATTTCCTAAGGAAATCCAAGATGTTCCATGACTACAGGAGACTTAAGATATCATCTAAGTAAACATAGAAGAATATTTTTGTAGGCATATATTCAACTAGGACTACCAGGTTTTTGTAAATGCCTGTAAGGCTGCTGTGAAACCTAGCAGGGAAACTGGTCATTTAAAAAACAAAAGTTTCTTCAAGGTGAGCTAGGAAAGAATGGATGGAGTTGGAAGATAGGCTTGCTAGCCCCAGTGTAAACCAAGCAGACTGTCAAAGAAGGGACAACAAATGTATTTCCCTTTTTTACAAGTCTGCCCACTCACAGAGAATGTTGCCTCACAAGTTAGTGTAGGTGTTGAACACAAAACTTTAGCGGGTTGTGCAAGAAGCAATATTTTAGCTATGCAGATGATCTGCCCAACTTTCTGAGGGATACAGGTGACTTTGGGGCAGCACTGTGGGGTGGAAATTTTCCAATACTATATTTTTCAATAAAAAATCCATACAATGTATATCTATATTTATCAAAATTTTGTCTGGCTATCAATCAAGTTCATGTTAGATGGACTAAATACAGAATATGAATTTAAGTAAGTTTTTCTTCTAAGGCAAACATTGACAGTTGGCCATTACTAAATTCTTCAATAACAAACTGAAAGAATGCTAAAACTGAAACTAAGACTACAACAACTTCAGAGAAGTGCTTCATTTCTTTTCTTGAACTCAGGAATTCAGA